TGCTGTAATAAAATACCTTAAAGTGGGTAATTTATAAACAATATACATTTATTTTACTGAGTTCTAGAGGCTGGGAAATCCAAGATCACAGCTCAAACAGATGCAGAGCCTGGTGAGAGCTATTCCGAGAGATGGCTCCTTTTCCGTGTCCTCAGGTGGTGGAAGGGGCTAACAGCTCTCTTGCGCCTCTTTTGTAATGTAAGATCACTAAAGTCTATTTTTAATTACTTTCTGAAGGCCTTGCCTCTTGATATTATTGCATTGTGATGAGGTTTTTACATGTGAATTTTGGAGGACACATTCAGCCCATAGCTTCTGTTCTTATGATCACCAAGGCTGGTGAAAGATGGTGTGGGACAGCCTCCCTTTGTATCCTGGTCAGGATACACTGGCTTGTTTGCCTAGGACCCACTCTTCTTGAAGCAGTACATGCACTAGTATCCCAGAGCTTTGCCCACAGAAAACCCTGAGCTGTTTACTCCCTTTTGGAAGCTTAAAACTAACCTTACTTTCTGGGAACTGAGCATCTCCAAGTGGTCAGCACACCCAGGCTCTCATTACTTCTTTTCTCAAACCAAAGCTGTGTCTCTAACGTGTCTTCTCTTTCTTGGAAATTCTGCTTCCTGATATCTCTTACTGCATTCTTACTTTTTCCCCCTCACAACAAGCACAGAAAATGATACTACTTGTGGAGTACATCAGGCTAGACGGACAAGGCTGTCTTACCAAGAGGCAACCAACTGTATTAGTCTAGGATGTCAGTTATCTGAGCACATCTATAACCCATCTGCAGCATATTTGGTGGGAATTATTCTAGATGATCTTATATTGCTGGTTAAAGATCTGTCCGTCCACACTCTATAGTTAATCAAGTGATAATCAAGTGATAAACATCAAAATTTCTTGTTGTCCATGATATCTATGTAGTGATATGGTCCCTCTTATAAGGCCTAGTCAGATCTCTGATCCCAGAGGCAGAACTCTGAGTAAGTTTTTGCCTTAACATTTCTGTTGTCTCACCTGCAGAAATGCACCAGTGCCGGAGCGACGAGTACAACTGCAGCTCTGGAATGTGTATCCGCTCCTCCTGGGTGTGTGACGGGGACAACGACTGTAGGGACTGGTCTGATGAAGCCAACTGCACAGGTCAGTGCTTTCTGATTAACAGCACTCATCTATTAGGTGAACTAATTAATATCTGCTGCATGTACTAGTACTAGTTAACATCATATACTAGTTAACGTCATAGCCTTAAATAACCATGGTATCTAGACTGAGAATCAGCTTGGACCATAGAAGTCAGCTGGTTCAGGGCTTCCCAGAGAGCTGGTTTGTGATGAGATAAGGATCTCGTGCCAGAATACAAATTAATATTCTACTTCCTTCACCCAGAAAGTCCTACAAGAAAAAGGTCAGTGGAGCTAAACAGTGTTCTGAGTGATATAGTTGATTTATATTTGGGTCAATCTTTTCAACTTTTAGGGCCAGTAAAGAGCAGTTCACACACTGGCCCCTGGTGGGAACCATATTTTGAGTAGGACCCAACTAGTTCATATTTTTCAAATGGAACATTGAATGGTTCCCCTAATTAAAATTTAATTACAATTAAAATTTAAGCTGTGCTTGTACTTATTTGAGATAAGATTTCATTAAAAGTAAAGTTAGAAACACCAGGAATGTGAGGGTAATGCTAGGTGGTGTTAGTTAGAGGTAATATTCGAATTCTTCTGTTGTTTTCATCACATTACTTTGTTTAATGATTTAATGGGGGCCATACACATTTGCTTCGGGGTGGGGGCAGCAGATAAAACATGGAGTTGAGAAGGTTGTAGAGGAATAAAAACAAATCTCTTTTAATACTTATCACTTTATATCCCGTGACTTTATACAATTAATTTGCCAAAATGTAAAATAAAAAGTTTAAAATTCCTCAATTCCATGACCCAATATGTGGTTTGCTCTGCA